CATAGAGCATTTTGCTTTGTACAACAGCCTTTATTGGACCAGAATACAAAGGAGCAATAAACGGTATAAAGTGTAATACTGTATGTGAAAAGTTTTTAAAGGACCAATGTTGATAAATGCTCTTAAAAGAGATTCATCAAGAGTGTCTCCAACCCCAAAAGTGGCTTCTGGTTTGCCGAAAGGACCAGTTTATTCGATCATAGCAGGTCACAATGTTCGCAAAAGAGCCCAGTCATAGCCAAGATCACTCACTGTGGTCCCAATTATATGGACAGAGCAGTGGCCCCGGGCCAGGAGTGAATGATTATAATAAGGCTTGTCTGTCTGTTCAAAATCAGCTTAGAGTGCACCCAACGCTGACCGGGAGCATCACTCCAGCCTTAGTTGGATTTAAACAGGCCGCATGTGAACGAGCAGGGTGTTTTGGGGATTGGGTCCTAGATACGTTTCCCAGGATGATGAACCAAGACCTCTTTCGCCCTTCTCAAAGCTATGAAGAGGATCAATTAAGACTTTCTTGTAACGCCGCCTGCTATTTAATTCAGTATACGGCTGAGCAGTCGGCGATTAATGACAGGTATTTAGCTGCGAGACGTGGTCAATAAACGCACTGGCCCGGGCAACCTAATGCCAGGCAACAGTTCTCCAGGCGCAGGTCCACCTCCGAGAGCTGAGGGAGGTTAACGGGAACATTGAGTCGAAGGGAAAAACAAGCTCGCACGTCAACTTTTCGGCTGCTTCGCGGTGGCTTTCATCTGGAACAATTTGAGATTATATTATGTCCACTGGATCACTGGCAGTGTGTGTTGCAGAAAAAGCATTAGGAGGACAAAGACAAATCGAGCACAGGCCGTGAGGGGTGAAAGACAGATGGGGACATTTAGGTTCTGCTCTAATCGTTTGTAGTGTGCATGCATGTGTGCCCTCATGAGGCACAAACGCACATGAATAAATAAGCACATTGATATCCAGTGAAACTTCGAGGATGTTAATTCCTTCAAGGAAATACGAGAGTAAATAAATCTGACACAAAATAAATTGTTTTAACAAAGACACAATGTCAGTGCGCCGGTCTTCACATTGCCCACATCTACTTTAAGGAAGATTTTGTTTGTCATCTTAATAAAGTCACCAACACTGTAAAATGACAAAACGCGGCATTGTCTTTTGGTGAAAGGCTTCCTCCTCCCAGTGGAGTGAACATGTCTGATAAATGCCAGGATATAATGAAGCTGTCCTCGTGGTTCAAAACCTGCCAGTGGTGTTTTTTTTTTTTACCCTCTGGACAGGAGAACACAGATGGTTGATTCTGTATCAATGTGCAGTCGCAGCTGTTCCCATTTAGTGCACATGACGGGGCAGATAACCCCACCAGCTGAATATACATATCAGAACTGTTTCCATTTCATCCAGTAATCTTCTTATGAACACAATCACCAGGAAGTAAACATGCCACCAATTAATGGAAGAAGAGTGTTGGAAAATATGATTCCGTGGCCAAGCAAGGTCACAGGGTACACGTGAATCAATAAGTTAGTGTCCACGGACTCTATAAACAGAAGTACTGAGACACGCTACATAACGGTAATCAAGCAAGGGTGGGGCTGGAAGCATGCTTGGAAGTCTGGTGTGGAACAATTGGAGAGCGCTTATTCTCGTGAAACGCATAAACGTTTCCCTGCTGAAATTGGGCAGCAGTTTTCCTGCTGAAATTGATGCGCTGTTGAGGAAACGCTACCAATGTTACTTTGTTGGGAATTAACCCCAACAACCTTGGAAAATAAGACAAGATAACCTTGTATTTGTCCCACATTGGGGAAATTTGCAGTCTACAGCAGCAAAATTGTGTGTGTGTGTGTGTGGGGGGGGGGGGTCGAGAAGAAAAAAAACAACAAAGTGTTGCATGCACAAAATAAATAAATGTTTCAGAAAACTGTACACAGTATAAATATAAGTTGCATTTATGCATCTTATGCATGCATAAGGTAGCTGTGCTCTTTACAATGGTTACAGGTTTTCACGCATGTTTATTCAGCATGTTATAAACGTAATGTTTTGAGCAGATGACTGACAATTAGGTATATTTTCAACAAATTTGATCCGATACACGCGAGTCAAAATCAGCAGCTTAAAATGCAACACAAAGTCGTTTAAATTTGCTTTCATGATACAAGGTTACATTAGATTTATTCTCACCCTTCAGTGCACATCATTGTAAATTTAAAAATCTTTCTCACAACAGTTGTTTGTAGTGTGTTTTCATTAAATACTTTGTCATCAAATAAATGGTTATTGCTCCATCAAAGAACAAGTTACTCTGGAGAGTGATGACAGATCGTATTTTACTCTCTTTGGGGAAACAATTCTTCAGGGTCTTACAAGCGGTTCAGAAAATGGATTGATGGATAGTTTGTTTATACCATAATTAAAAAGTTATTTCGTGACACCAGTCAGTGGTGCAAACTGGAGGTCATATGTGAGCATGTGTACTGTATTTTATTTTCGACATGGTGCCAGTCAAAAACAGGAGCAAATTTGCCAAAAATGATTAACTCGAGACCGTAGTCCTGCAGTCTTGGAGCATGACACTCTCTCTCTGTGCTCAGTCTGACTGAAAATGACGTTGGCCTTCAATTGTCGATAAGCGTTTTGGCAAAGTACTCCGTTGTAATGATTGTATGTGATTAATCAGTCATACAATGTGTCTTTGACCCATCTTACCAATATGGTCAGCAGTCTCTAGGGAGTAAAATTATACAACGGTGACCTTTCCTCATTCTCATTTGCAAAAGAATCTGCCTGTTTACAAGAATGTCAGCATTTATTCTGACATATCTTCAACAATACTATAGACAAAAGGCATGACACATTGTACACTGAAAAAAAGTTTAATGTGTTGTTTTTAAATCAAAATTGTTTCAAAATATCAGGATGTTTCAAGTGGACCTTCTAATTTATATTCATGGTCAAATGTCATTTCTTTACTTTGACCTAAAGTAAATTTATAGTGCAGCACCAAATGTAAATGTTTCATTTAGACAGACAGATTTATTTTTTTTTCGATCGAGTGTGATTTTTGCAGCGACAATGCCAACCTGGAGGGGAGGAGTTGCCGTTTAAAGGTATATACTTCTTCCAGATGAACCAAAATGTCACCAGAAAACATTGAATAGCAACAGTTGGAAGCATGTGCATTGCGTGAAGCTTGTATGAGTATGTTGGTACAGTCTATACGAGCACTGAGACTTCGGTCGTGTCCCATGTGTTTGCTTTTCGCCAGAGCAGTGTAGAGGCTCACTGTACTTCCGTCATGTCTGCAACCTTCAATCATCTCGGCATAGTTGTCCCAACACTTGTTTTCAACTATATCAAGTATCAAGTACAACTTTATTGTCAAATGTGCTGTATGTCCAACATACAGCACAGATGAAATTTCTTCCCTCTCAAGACAACATACAACAAGAGGAGCCGCTGCGGGTGCCCGCGCCGCCATCAAAAGAAAAGTATATGAACTATAGTATATGGACCAATGTTTACCAACATCATTTATATGAGAAAGCTCTCATGACACAACACCAAACAAAAATGTACATTTGTTCATGGTAACTCCTGCTATTGTTCTGCCTCTCACTCTATGTTGCTGGCATAGATAGAACAAAGGTACATTATTTGTGGTCAGTAAAAATAGATAATAGTTTCAAGTTATTAGAGGAATCTATGAGCAAAATTGTATCATGTTTAAAGTTTCATTTAATTTGGGCACATCTAAACGTTTGGGTACGTATCCAGCACCCCCAAATGCCTGTGCACAAAGGCGCCGGCCACCTGGCCGGAGGGCTGTTGAAGTCCACAATTAGCACGTCAATGCAGGTGGGCAATCACAGGGGAGAGGGCGAAACTCGGTCACAAAGGGGGAATGAATAATTTGGGAACAGCGGTTCAACAACAAAAGACGAGTTGAGAACACCCGTCGCGCCCAGGCGACATTTGTCATCCGCAAAGTCTGCAACATGTTGATACAGTGTAGACCAGACAGAAAGGCGCCAATGTACCGGTGGTTCAAAGCTTAAACTCAGGTAACAAATCACTACCGAGGGGCCGGACCGGGGGTGCGGTATCCAAATGTCGGGGGCAGTGTTTTCCTTGTATGTTCCAATAAAAGTCGGAATTGGCAGGAAGGGAGCTGGAGTGTGTGATCATCGGAGCAACTACCGTCGTTCGCTCTCAGAGATCCGCTCCCGCCGATATTGAAGACAATTTTCCTGTGTGCCGAGTCATTTCTTTAACTTTGTCCGAGAAAATCTCTGACACAAGTTAAATTGGATAATTTGGGAAGCACTGAAACAGTATTCTGCAAAAGTCTTGGGACACCGATACTTTTGCTTTAATTACCGGTAATCTTTTTTTTTTCAAATGTGACATTTAAAACATGAAAACACATGTCTTGGCTCATTAAAGGATTTGATACAACGATACATGATATATCTATTTTCGATCATTCACAGAAATGACCTGTACCTGACTTCAATGCACCTGTACAATAAAATCAGTGTTATCTGTATGTTGGTGAGCGCTCTTTCACATGTGGCTCGTTGTTACAAGTGTGACCTCCAGTGTGTAAGCAGAAGGAGAGAGCTGCGCTTCTTCCTGTGCGTCTGGACAGCTGTGTGATCTCCTTTGTGGGGTGAATGCTGACAGTTAGAAGAATGCCACACTCCTTACCAGGACTTCAACCTGAGCATTGGCGCAAATGCGCCTCCTCAGCGACAGCAGCATGCGTGCATATAATCAACAATTTTGCATGAAAGACATTTGTGAGATGAAAGGAAATGTTGTTTTCAGATTTCTCTCCCATTACTGTGCTCATCTCATCTCCAGGGTGGAGAGCGTCGCTCCTTTCCCAGCGTCGCTCCTTTCCCGACGTAATTAAAAAAAAAAAAAGAAAAGAAAATTGACACGTGGTTGTTTTGCGCCCTCTCAGCCTCAAACGTTCCGCGGGGGAGCGAAGGAAAGAGGAGGAGGGGAGGAGAGAGAAGGAGGAGAGATGCAGGAGCAGCCAGGAGGATAGAGGACGTGCTCAGAGGGGTGTCCGCTTTCTCACCGCGGCCACTGAACTGCAGAGCATCCTGCACGCATTTGGAATTTACACTTTGATCAGCACCTCCAACTAAGAAGAGACTTGCAAGATGTGGAAGACGAGCCAGTGGAAAGAGAAGGAAAAAGACATGGTGGATATGTTTTTTTATTGTCAAGTCTTAATGTGACATTGCTTCACATAATGCATGTGACTTTTTAGGAGAGATCAACTATACGCCAGCATGGATTTCTTGAATTTCTCCGCTTTAGAGGAAGGAATGGAGACAGACAACGTTTCCACTAACAACACCTCTCAGAGCAAGTACACCCCTCTCGCCATCTGGAGTCTAGCTGGACTTGTCAGTTTTCTAATCCTGTTTACAATCGTGGGCAATGTCTTGGTTGTTATCGCCGTTTTAACGAGCAGAGCCCTCAAGCCACCCCAGAATCTGTTTCTGGTGTCTCTGGCTACTGCAGACATACTGGTGGCCACCCTGGTCATGCCGTTTTCTCTGGCTAATGAACTTATGGGCTACTGGCTTTTTGGTAAGATTTGGTGTGACATCTACTTGGCTCTGGATGTCTTATTCTGCACCTCCTCCATTGTGCATCTCTGTGCCATTAGTTTGGACCGCTACTGGTCAGTGACACAGGCGGTAGAGTACAACTTGAAGAGAACGCCAAAAAGAGTCAAAGGGATGATTGTGGTGGTGTGGTTGATCTCGGCTGTTATCTCCTTCCCACCTCTGATATCAATGGATCGGAGCAACAATGAGACAACCCCCCAGTGTATTATCAATGATGAGACCTGGTACATCCTCTACTCCAGCATTGGGTCCTTCTTTGCCCCCTGCGTCATCATGATTCTGGTCTATATTCGGATATACCAAGTGGCAAAGACGAGGACCAGAACCATGTCAGAGAAGAAAAGGGATGTGGATTCGCCGCAGGAGAACGGTCGAACAGACACGGACAAAGCTGGTTCCTTTAAGTCTGAAAGGGGCGAGAGTGTTAAAGAGAAAGAATGTGAAAATGGCCATTGCAAGGAGCACACGGCTAGCACTTCCATGACAAACACGTCTAAAAATCCACACGTCGACCACCACGATGATTTTGATGACAGCAGTTCATCAGACGAGAAGCCCAAGAAAAACTCCGCCTCATCCAAACATCACCAGGATGAGCGAAAGGACCGCAAGTCCAGCAGGAAAAGCAGCTCCGCCTCGAAATTCTCCAGCAGGAAATCGTGCGCCAGTTCCAAGTCCATGGAGCTGTTCTCATCTCGCCGCAAACGCAGAAGCACAGTTAACAGGAAGAAAGTGTCCGCAGCCCGAGAAAAACGTTTTACGTTCGTCCTGGCTGTGGTCATGGGGGTTTTTGTTTTGTGCTGGTTCCCCTTTTTCTTCTCCTACAGCCTGTACGGAATCTGCAGGGAGATGTGCAAGATCCCTGAGACTCTGTTCAAATTCTTCTTTTGGATCGGCTATTGCAACAGCTCATTAAATCCGGTCATCTACACCATCTTCAACCAAGACTTTCGCAGAGCTTTCCAGAAGATTCTCTGTAAGTCATGGAAAGGCTCTTTCTGAAGGGCTTTTATGGACATTTTGTGCGCCAGATTACCATTTAAGCGGTTCTGAGTTGCAGAGTAAAGTGTTGGCCCGGGGAACTATTTCCACCTTTTACTGTCAGGGATTGTGCTCGAAATGAAGGCATGGAAACGGATCAAAGGCCTGAACAAAAGGTGCAGGAAGCTGCTCCGCTTTTGTTCACAGTCGAAGCTTTCACGAAATGCCAGGCAGCTTTATACACTCAAATATTTGCTCCGACCAAACCACTCACATTGATTTACGCTCCCTTCATTGAAATACAATAAACAGACTCATAACAGTCACTGTGATGCACGCGCCGCACAACAGTCGCACCTGGATGAACTGCTCAGGAGACAAAGGGTTTATTGACACGCTTCATTCATATGATCTTTGAACGTAATTGCCAAAAACTTGACAATCTCCCAAAAATATCCATAAAACAATAGGGCATATGTCTTCTACGGCCCTTAATCTGTTTTTTTTTTTAACCTTTGAAATGTTTCACTCAATATGAGGACCAATGGGACGAAGGGGCTCCTTTCTTACTGTTACAGTGTCAAAATGAAAAGAAGAAAAAAAATGAACCACTCACAAAAAAAAAAATCGATACATGAAAGCTCTTGTATGTAAGTTATATATCTGCCTCAGTGAGAGGTTTCTGCCTGCCCGTACACTGAGAATGAAGTGGCAACCTTTCACCATGATGTGTGGCATTTTTTTGTTATGTGTGCGAAATCTGTGGAATGTGAGGCTCCTTTGCCACAGCGGGTCCAGTAAGTCATCTCTTTGCGGGGCATCTCTCTGCAACTACAGTATCTCTTGAGTCTGAAACAATAGATGGATCACTGCCTCCCTGCTGCGGCAGATGGACATGCACGGAGGCTCCCGCTGAGTGTGTGAAAAAATGGTTCTAATGGAGGAGGAAGGAGAAAATGAAAGTGTATAGCGTGGAACAATGTTGATGAGGGGTGTTAATCCCCACTGCCACTCATTATGCGTGTGTGCGTGTACGTGTGTGTGTGTGTGTGTGTGTGTGTGTGTGTGTGTGTGTGTGTGTGTGTGTGTGTGTGTGTGTGTGCGCGCCCACGTGCTGCGTGTGCCTGCGTGTGTTTCTGTGTGTGCCCACGTGTGCATGCATGTGTGTTTGTGTGGCGAAAGCCTGAATTTTGGCAGCGGGACCGATCCTCTCTGCTCAAGTCTGTCCTCCTTCATTGACTCTCGGATGGATTTTTATGTTTTCCACCAACCCCACCAAAGTCAGACACATTAAAAACCTCTTCCATCTTATTGCTCACTTTTATCGTCTGCTGCCAGCCCACCTAAGAATGCACATTAGACACTCTTCTCATTTACGATATTTTCCTCTTGACATGTAAGCCATTCCTTTGTAAATATGTGGAAAATGATACAGTATTATTGTGTGGCTCCTCATTCTCACACACCTCTTGCTATGATCAACAACATGTACGGTTTGCATTATGAATAATGCCCTCGTGGATTTTCATGGCAAACCAAACAGTCTTTTTGTAATGTTTCAGAAGAAAAAACAAGAACAAGTGTTTGTTTCTCTGCTTTGAGCACATTCTAACAGATCAAATAAATATCATTGAAACTGTGTCCTGATGCCTCGGCTGAGTGTATTTTTCATCGATGTTAATGGGCTCTGCATGTTTATAACTCTGCGCAACGATGCTCCTGTTTTTAGTGTCAGTTGCAGGCCGAACATTAATTTTACTTTTGCAGTTTCTTCCTCAAAGTGGCACAGATGCACAGCAGTATGTGGCGTAACGTCTCGGTGGTCAAAACAGTCGCGACGAGTAATGACGAAGGGTACACTGGATGAAAACAGAAACTCCAGTCTTGTGCTCCTCAACTCATTCCCAAGTACAATTTGGAATTCAAACAAACGTTTTGCTGCGTTGTGTAGGGCATTTTTTTTTGTCTGTAATGTCAACACATGCTGTAATGAAAATGTGTGATGTTAACCATAGAACCAGATACCGATCTTACATTGGGCTGCCTAATTGTAAATTTCCCCAGTGTGGGACAAATAAAGGATATCTTATCTTATCTTATCTTAATACAATTACATGTAAAGTTGCTTTTGTGCTGAAGTCGGATATTTTTCGATTTCACAATCAATGTTGAGTATCAATTTCTCAAACATGACATACTGAAAATCTCCAGCCAAACATACGAAATGCTCACATAAATATCTTCCTGTTCTTTCTCGGTTTCTTGTCAGTCAGCCGTCTTAAAACGTCGAGTGTCTTTATTAAATTTGACTTCTGTCCTACAAAATTGGTTCTTTAAAATGACGATGTTATTTATGAATGTTAAAATGTTACTTCAAAAATCCCTTATAAAGTTTGCCAAAGTTTTAAGATGGAATCAGTTTGAGCTTGGAATGAATTTTCGTACATTATATGGTTTTAAAAATTTGTGTGTGAAAATTTTAAAGTTGGAATTCAACCAAATATCTGGTTTCTTCTTTGTTGTAGCAAGTTTTTTTTTTTTTTTTTAACATTTGCTCACTGTGAGCAAATCGTCTTCAATCTTCTTTCACACTTGTGCTTTGTAATGCTAATTTACTAAAGGGATGGCCCAGAATTCACAATCTTGCAAAAGAGTGTAACATCCAGTCAAAACAGAAGTCAAGTCCAGAGTCAAGACTTTAGTTAATGAACCTTTCAGCTCATGACACATCTCTCGCCTCCTGTCAGAATGATAATTACCACTTTAACATCTTTTGTTTTTGTAATAACAAGGTCACATGTGATGGCCCTCCAGACTATAAGCATCTGCCATCGATAATTAGGGTCAACCAAAGAATATTGTAAATAAAAAATAATTTTGGACAGTTGATAACTTTTTGGATGACTTGCAACGCAAAGCTCCATGTGAGACCACAGTCTTTACTATTAATGAAACTTAAAAAGGATTCAAACAGTATGGTTTGTAATGTATGCCAGAGTTCTTGAATTTACACAATTTTTTTAAGGTATCAATTTATCATTGAGGATGATAAATAGATATCTTAAAAAAAGTGGAATGACTATGTTGGGAGGATGTGAGGACTTGCGTTGTCATGATGCAAGATGACTCCTTCTGACTGATGATCCCTGCGTTTGAAAAAAAAATTTAAAAAGTAAGCTTCTATTTGTATTAAAAGTCCTTAAACCGAAAAATTCACCTTATTTATTGAATGACCCTTGAGTGTGTGTGTGTGTGTGTGTGTGTATCCACAATGGTGCGCGCGTCACGTTTGAATGCTGGAGTCGTGCTCGCCACTGGCACCGATGGAAAAATGGTCTCAGGGTTTGACGAGGAGATATCAAGCCAGCCGCCACAAGAGCTGTTGTTTGTATGCTACGCAATGTGCCTCGAGGGTCAACTAGTAGGACTGTACATGGATATAAATTCCTCACTTGGCTTTTATTTTCAAGTTGCCCCTTGTAAGCAGTTGTGGCGGCTGACTTGACTTCAAATTGACTGAAGAAAAAAATAAAATAAACTCAACCAAGTCTCTGTTCCTACAAATTGCTACAACATGGCAACAAACAGACTTTTTCCAATCATTTTTGTATTTTGTTGCACTCTTGTTGGCCATCATAGTACTTCGACTCTGCAGCTTGTGTTCCCATGGTTTTATTACATACGTTAAAGTTATGACTCCGCTGACATAAAGAAAACAAAATTACAGCGATGACTTAAGACCGACGGTCTCTTTTGCACCAGTTATGAGCTGAACTGCAGACAGTCTATGAAGGCTCGTCAGTAACCTTAGCTTTCAGTGATGTACATTTGTGTATGTGCTTGAAAAGACTACCAACAAAATATCAGATGATTCAGTCATAGATCAAATGTGGGTGGGAGCTGCTTCAGAAGCTGAGGTAATTACCAGTGACCCCAACAAGATTTAATACATCCTGTACATACTCCGTCTGTCTCATGCCTCTTTATTTATTCCCTGAAAGCTGAGCGGTACCATTTCAGTGACCAAGCAGAATAGATTCTGTCATCAGTGCTGCTCCCTTGTCAAAGTGTTTATAGGATGCTGTGTCAGCAGGTCACTTCTCACTGACACTTCTGATAGCCGCAGTGCTGCAAACGAGAACGAGATCCCATCAAATGTCCAGTTCAATGGGCCGATTTATATAGTTGCTCCCTGAAAATGGTGCTCGAGATAAGATGACCAGAAAAGAGAATCAACAACTGTGCTGTTATTGTTTTCATTTGCAGAAATACCATATCAAGTATATCCAGCCATCGATTTTTGCTTATCCTGGTTTGGGTCGTGCGTTTGCTGGACCCTATCCCAGCTGACTTTGGGCAAGAGCCTGAGTACACGCTGAGCTGGTCACCAGCCACTCAAAGGTCACGGAGGGCACATATACAAAGTAATAAAAGAACAATTCACAATGACATTCACCCCTCCGAAATATTTGGAGTCTCCACTCAACAAAATTGGAACGTGGGAGGAAGCCAAAGTGTCTAAAGAAAATCAACAAAAGCAGAGAGAACATGCAACGTCCAGATAGGATAGCTTCTGTCATTGCCCCTGATTGGCTCTATCCAAACATCTATCCATCATTCCATCCACCTATTCTTTTATACCATTTATCCCCCAAAGACATAGTAAAGCAAGGATGTGCGGTCAGGGTAGGCAGGTGAGGCAGTGCCGTCCCCTGCTGGCCATTATCTGCATGTGAAGAATGAATGAATAAATAAATAAATACATAACATAATTATGATTGCATTACATTGTTCCATTTATGGTCCACGCTTTACATTATATTTTCTTTTCAGCCCAATAATCATAAATTTTGTCATTAAAATAAAATAGCTGATTTTGAATTTCCTGTTCAAATGCGTGGATGACAAATGAAGAGGCGTTCAATGTTCAGTGTCTCCAAGGACCACGCACACATTAATTGCCGACTCAGGCATCTTTTTATCACACATGCACTGCATATACTGACATTCACGTATTAAATCTTTCTGATCAGCCAGAAAACTGATTGAAAGAGCACAGTGGAAACAAGAAAATACACGCTGCAAGCGCTGCGCTCAATTGGAACAGTGCGTAGAAGAAGCCCATAGACTTACAGTAGATAATCACGAGAGGAAGCGTCGGTTGCCGTCTTGAATGGGAATCCACAGCGATCTCTTCTATTCACTTGTGTTGATGTATCTGTGTTGGAGGAATTGGAAGAGGAAGAATAAGAAGAACTAATAGTCATGAAAACGAATGTGTGACGTATCCCTAGTTTAGCATGCTGCTTACTTCCATCATAAGGTTTTAACAGGAGCAGAATGCTCAACAACCAACCAGGATTCTACCTTTGGCTACGATGTGATATAGGATTGTAGTTAAGGTAAGCCATTTTGGACTTAAAAAGCATATCTTATTCGGAAATTCACTGAGCGTGTGTGTTCAGAGAGGCAGTGTGCCCTCACCTCAGATTAATTTCCGTACGCAGACTATATTTTAAACCAGCGGCAGCAGCAGCAGCAGCAGCAGCTCATGCTTGAAGTGTTCCCATCTGTACTGTCTAATGTACTATACTCTGACACTACTTTTTTGGGGGCACCTATAACGCAACCACCATTAGGGAATGGGAATTTTGAGTGCTTGTCCGAGCTCTACTGTTTTTGGTCTCGTTTTTTTGTCAAATAAATGTCCCCCCCAAAAGCTACTTGTTTTGCAGAGCCACTTACAATATTTTCAGTAACTTCTACTTCCTTTTGGAAGTTGTCAAATAGTATTGGTCCAGTATTGCCACCGTCTTCAGGATGTGGCATCCACCAAAACAAGGATTTACTATTTACAGAACCAAAAGGCGCCATAACCAACCAGGATTCTACCTTTGGCCAGAGTCCACACAGGATTCTAGTTAAGGTAAGCTATTTTCAACTAAAAAGAAAAACTTTACCACAGGTCCAAGCAGAAATTTAAAATTCATCTTGAATTTTTTAGCTGCTGTAAACGTTACGTAAATTAGGTAACCAGGATTTTGGGTGCAAG